TCCATGTTAAAAAAAAAGTAGGTTAGGTTAGGTTTAGGTTAGGTTTATGGAAAAATTTTATAATAATTTCAATACAAGAGTCTGATTTATTCTGTCTTACTTTTAACCCTCCGTTGCATTCCGTTCCCAATTCGGGGACTTAAATTTCAAAGGTTCTGTAGTGAATTAAGTAGACAATTTATTGGTAATTGTTTGCCAACATTCATAACATTTTCTAATAAAATTTTATCATTTATTTCATCGCTCATTTTTAAGTAGACTAACAGCCATATATATATATTTATTTATTTATTTATTTTTTTTTAAACTCGTCATAAAAATTCATGCAATAGAGGGTTAAGATTCACTTATTATGTTTAATGAGACGTACCGGCATTTTACATATACCTATCTTACCATAAGTATATGAACCAATAATAACCCTTATGAATAAACGTTGATTATTAAAAAGAAATTCTTAATTTATCAAAGGAAACAATTTGCAACATAACTTCTGATTTCTAATAAAATACTCAAACATATATTTTTATTTAAAGTAAAATTTTTGAAAAGGGGTCATTTGACCCTGCTTGGTACGTTTAAGTGTTAATTCTTCTCAATATTATTTCTCAAGTAGTAGATGCAAAATCTCCGAGAAAGGACAAACAGAAGGTGTTGCAGGTTCTATTCTAAAGAATGGAAAAGTGGGTATGCATCACTCACCATTGACTTCGGTCAGCAGTTCCTCGTGCTCGAGCAGCAACTCGACAGCTTCGACAAACTCTTGGTCGATGGCTCGAAGGAGCGCATCTTTCGTCTCTACGCCCATCACTATCAACAGTTCGACCATCTCCAAATTCTCCGCGTCGATCGCCAATGACAGAGCACCACGTCCCAGACTATCCACGCAATTTATATCAAGCGACTTGCCCTAAGATGAGAGATACACAGATTGATTTCCCTCATCAAGAAGAAAGGAGACACGAATTTGGTTGAGGTCAAACACACGTTGACGCCACCATTGTTGGCGAATTGAATGAATCTTTTGACGTTGGCTAGGTCGCCTCGTTCCACCGCTAACAGATACTTCTTCTCTTCTATGTTCAAAGGCCTTGGAAGATTGACCACGTAGGCCTCCACCTCGCTTGAAGAAGCAGCCTCCAGCTCCTTCACCATCTTTTCGCAGCTCATTTTCCACCACTGGAGATATATCAATTTCCTGTTATCATGTTCATTGACAGAGTGAATGAGATCTCCACTGTGTCTCCAGCGTTTAGACACGTATTTTTGTCAAAGTAAATCTTTCGAATTTTCGAATCTAAAGCTTGGACAATCTGTCCTTGGATTTCTGCGCTGCACACCAGCTGATACTTACACTTTACAGGGGATTCATTCGTGCGGCGAAGAGATCTTGGAGGAATCAGATCCATGGGGAGAGTTTTCCAAGCAAACGACACGGCCGAGAGCCGCTTCCGCTTATATAGGGGATGATGGAAATCGAATTAGCCAGTATTAACCGAGACCCTGTTTACTTGCCGGCGTACATACGCCGGCTAATTTGCTTATCGATATCTCGTTAGCCACGTGACAGTCTGTCAGAAAGTGTTGTTGAACAGTTGACCGCCTTTACGGCGAGGCACGTCGAGTCGACGCCCTTTTTGTCGAACGCTCGACAACTTCCGCGTCTTTGAACCAATTTACAAGCGATCTCGAGAGAACTCGTCGAAATAAAATTCGCAACGACGTGTATATCACTCGTTTTAATTACTTAAGCAATTATTAAGATGTGAAGTATCGCCAGAGTGATCGTTCAGCCGAAAGAACGGGATTAATACGATCGTCCTTGATGTTCCTCTTCTCGCAGGATGATCTTTTTACACGGATTGTTCGCCGTGGAATGGCTCCTAAAAAGTTATGGTCAAGATACCCTTAACTCGTGAATCTTTCATATCGATTTGTCCATCATAAGCATCCATCCTTTAAAGGGACGAATCAGCTACATCTCAAAGAAGTTAGAGTTCACTGAGAGAGTGCGTCGAAATTTTGGAAGAACTTTCTCTTCTTTTTCTGGCTGAAAGCAGCGACGAAACGGTATATATTAAAGGGGAGGAACCTACGGTTGCAGCTGCGAAATTCATTAAACTGGACGATTAAAGTGGCCCCTCTTACGTGGCTTAGCAGACGTGGGATGGAAAAGAGGCAGCTAGCTGTTTGCACTGCGGCTTCGTCCACTGTTCACCCTCGTTTTAGTCGATGTTTGCTCGATCGCTGCGTCCACGAGAGTGTTGCATGATCGTACACCGTCCATTAACTCTCGTTCGCTTTTCGTACTTTTTTTCTTCCACTTGGATGCAGTTTCTGGACGTCAACAGGTATTTCGGTTTGAAGGTGAATTCTCTTTTACTTTCCGTCAATATTCCGACTAAAAACTGTTTAATATTAATATAATTATTCATGATTAATTAATATAATGTAATTTCGAAAGGAAAATATCCGGACTCATTTTGCAGATATAGCAAAGACAATAGAACTCCACTAGTCGAAAGTTTATTTCAACTTTGCAAAGTATGCTGTGTGCAAAATTCGAGGGACTCGAAGATCGTTTACTAAAACGAAAGAGAAGAAGACAGATAAAAGATCAAACGAAACGACGCAGAACCACCTTTCGAATGTGCCAAAGAAACTCGATCTTCGATCTTCTTTCACGAACGATCGACGTCGATGAACTTTCTGAATGGACAATCGGTGTATCGTTTAAAAAGCAGTCATCGATGTTAAGGC